AAAAAAACATAGCATTCGGTTAAATGATATCCTAAATCGAAATACTGAAATTCGCGAAGTATTGAACTGGGCCGCCTGATTTCATTACGTTTTTTTGTGTACAGCTGATTTCGTCCAGGCTGCTCAGCTGTACATAAAAAGCATGATAAACCCAAACAAAAATGCCAAGGAACAATGTTTCTGGACCGAGAAAGGCCAAGTGAGCCTAGCACCGAACAGAAATCCTATCATTCAGCCTGGCCTACACTCCGCACAAAGAAGAATTATCTATTTCTTATCAGGCGAAGGAGACGACTGCTTCTGCTTGGTAGCAGCTTGAAGCTGAGCCAAATACGCTTCCTCCTCGGCCTTCTTCTTGCGCCTCATCTCGATGTACTGCTCAGTTTCCTCCTTTGCCGCCTTCTGCATATCATCGAGCGTTTTTCCTTCGAACAATACCGAAACGGCGCTTTCGATGTTCGGTGTCTCCATCTGCTTCACGGGTAGTTCCTTGATTGATTCGGGGCTCTCCAGGCGATATTTACTAGCTAGTCGCTGCAGCTGATCATCCAATGACCGTTGGACCTGAAAAGAAAAACTGTAATACGCTGTAAACTTCATTTTTTCTCATTTTAAGTACTCTTAAAAAACCCAATCAGGAGCAAAGTGCGCTTTTCCTAGGGAGGAAAGCTACTTTTTGTCCCGTTCCAAATCCCTGGAAAAAAACCATCTGCCCCCCTCCCACACATCCTCTCATAACCATTAGTTGAAAAAAAAGCGAACAGTTTCGATAAAACTATATTTGGCGCAAACCTCCGGTGTGACATCTAGGAGAGCATCATCTGCTTTCCCGGCAATTTTCGCTTCATACTCTTTGATCTTTCTGAGGAATAAATTCTTCACTTCTGGATTCGCCTTTACACTTTGTGCCTTTGTTTCGAGCATTCGCCTCCAGCCAGCGCGCCATTCTGACACCACTAATCGCAGCAACATCTGCAAATTAATCGCAAACTGCACTCTGTACAATTGCTGGCTTTTTTACGATCCAAAATATATGGGATTCGAACAAATCGCTAATTTTGAAAACATATCAACAGAAGTAGGAAGGGCAGTACGAGCCGTAACGGCTCAATAAGCAATAGAGAAAGCTGTAAAGAGCCCATGAACAAGCCTATAAACAACGGTCAATAACGCCAAGACGGCCTGGACGAACAGTTCCGGTACCCAATTTTCGGGATTTTACTAGGATGCTCCCTCATACCTAGCACAATTATGCCAGAGGCCTTCGATCCTAGACTGCATACCTCCAGTTAGTATCCATTATGTTCGAATTACAGAGAGCAGTTTACCGTTGTAGGTGCTCATCGAAGTATCCTGAGATTGTTCCACAGTAGCACGCACTGATTATCTCAACTTATCAATAGTTTTTCGGCATCAGATTATCGAACCAGCGCATCTTAGGTTATTACAAACTGTTAGTGCTAAATCGGAAAAGATGAGGAAAGGGTAAGAAAACAAGGGGGTAAGGATGTAATCAAAGAAAAATGAGTGTAACCAAAGTTTCTGGCCCATAGAAGAGGAATTCGAATAAGCTGAAGCAGTAGCAATAATTGGCCGACGCATGGGCTACCCGTGCGAAAATGCGTTTTTTGCATAGTTCCCCGTAATTTTTGTCGCTACCGGCACCGGTTTTTCCGGCAAATGTTTCTAGCTAAACAAATTAAGACTAGCTGCCAGAACTGTCAGGAAACACCCCCTTAAAATTTCAGCTTTCTAGATTCCCTAACTCCTGAGTTAACAACTTACTCGAAAAAATTTTCACAGGCCCGTACGTGGGTACCACGCATGCCCGACGCCTGGGTTTGAAATCGTTAAGACTTACGTGAACGGGGAACATCTCCGTAAAATTTCAGCTTTCTGGCTTTTCTGATTCCCGAGTTAGCGACTTGGCCGCGAAAAAATCTCACGGACCTGTACGTGGATATCACGCAGGTAAGAGCGTTCATTTCGGAGAAGGGGACCCGTATACGCACGCAGATTAAGTCCCCCAAGTTTCAGCCTCGTAGCTTTTGCGGGTCTCGAGATGAAAAATCGGTACAGACGAACACACATACACACAGACGATTCCTCGTCAACATGAGTTTTCTGTACTGCATAGCTGCAAAAAACGGATAAAAACTGGAAAGCGAAGGGAAGAGATACCACGAATCATGTGGGTAAAATCAGCGTTCTCAGTAGTACAGATCTCATATACAGACAAATGGAGTTTGATACATTTTTTTTATAGCTTTCACAAACGAATTAGTTCCAGACCTAAAAATTCATACATTTTCGAGAGGGCGTTCAACATATACACGAAATAGCAGTACACGGCGTAGTAGAGACCGTCGTTAAATAGACCACTTTTAATGATAAAAAAAATTTATTTGTTTACGAAAGACATAATAAAGATAAAACAAATCCGAAAAATATACACCAAAAGGCATATATATGTATATAAATACATGTTTTCTTGGAGAAGGTTAAAAATTGAAGACTTCCTGCTATTCAGCAAGATCTTTCGGAAATGTCAATACAGAGATCTCGAATGTTACTACAGCGCTACTCACCTTTGAACATAAAACGAGGAAAAATAGCCTCATACTATGGGAATCAGATTACCCGGATTTACTGAGGTAGAATTAATTCTGACTTTCGAAAAAGAAAAAGCACCCCCTCGGATTAATAGCGTAAAGCTTTTGATGAAACTAAAGCTAAGAATTTCGATCAACAACATTCAAGTACCCATTCTCAACCAAATTCCGCCACCACCACCAGCAGCAGCTGATCACTCGGCTTTTCGTTTTTTCGCAGGTGGTCTTTCAAAAATATTTTTCATACCACCAGCATGTTTAACAAGAAATTTGCTGTTCAGAGCGGTAGTGGCTGCCCAAGCGCCCTGATGATCGGTCGTGTCCTCGTTTGTCAAGTGCGTCCACTTCGAACGGCTTGCTTTGCCAAAATTTTTCACCTTAAAATAATTTAAAAAAAAAATTCCACTGGTGACGGAACGAATATCTAAATAATATTCAGTGATGTGTTAAAAGGACAGAAAGGGGGTACAACCGCACTGGACCCATCTAGCAACATGTGCATGTGGAGTGGTATTGATGCACACGAACAAAGATTACGGAATGTTAGGGCCTACATCGTCAAGTGACAAGTTCGAAGATACCTTTTGATCTATCTCCTTTGGTCTTCTACTCTCAGCTACCAGGGGACGTAAACTGACCCATGCAGAAAGTAGGAGAGCAAATATGTCTTTCTAACAAGAGAATCTCTAGTAAGACTGCTAAAATATAAATACAAATTTTGCTCTAATCACTTACAGAACGGCTTTGTTAAAATACCGCCAATGAAGAAGTGAGAAGCTTTCCCAGGGCTGCAACTTCTTCGATAACAGAGATAACAGC